GCCGAAGAGTGGAACTCCGGCGAGACGTTCTCCTGCAGTGTCACCATCCCCGAGATCGACCAGACCATCAAAAAATCTATTAAGAAAGACATAGGTAGGCGCCCGCCCCTTCTCTCCCGCCCCCCAAATCCCACCCTCCGAGTCCCGCGGGGGGCGGAGGGTCTCCTTCCGACGTGACGTCCACCGAGAAGCTCGGTGGAAAGGGAGACAGCGGGGTTACGGCAAGGGAAGAGCAGTTTTGGGCAAGTGGAAGGAAGCAGCTGGCTGGAAAAGTCGAGTCTACTGGGCTAGTCTACTGGGAGAGTCTACTGGAAGAGGTTAGCCAACTGGAAGGGTCTAGCCGGAGAGCCTGGGGCTACTGGGAGAGTCAACCTGGCCGGCTTGTTGGAAGGCTTTGGTCTACTGGAAGAGGTTAGCCAACTGGAAGGGTCTTCTCCGCTGGAGAAGTCAACTGGGAGGGTGTACTGGAAGAGGTTAACCAACTGGAAGGGTGTACTGGAAGAGGTTAGCCAATGGGAAGGGTCTACTGGAAGAGGTTAACCAACTGGAAGGGTCTACTGGAAGAGGTTAGCCAACTGGGAGGGTCTTCACACTGGAGAGGTCAACTGGGAGGGTCTACTGGAAGAGTTTAGCCAACTGGAAGGGTCTACTGGAAGAGGTTAGCCAACTGGAAGGGTCTTCTCCGCTGGAGAGGTCACTGGAAGGGTCTACTGGAAAAGTTTAGCCAACAGGAAGGGTCTACTGGAAGAGGTTAGCCAACTAGAAGAGGTTAGCCAACTGGAAGGGTCTTCTCCACTGGAGAAGTCAGCTGGGAGGGTCTACCGGAAGACTTTAGCCAACGGGAAGGGTCTACTGGAAGAGGTTAGCCAACTGGAAGAGGTTAGCCAACTAGAAGAGGTTAGCCAACTGGAAGAGGTTAGCCTACTGGAAGGGTCTAGCCTACCGGAAGAGATTAGCCAACTGGAAGGGTCTAGCCTACTGGAAGAGGTTAGCCAACTGGCAGAGGGTAGCCTACTGGAAGAGGTTAGCCAACTGGAAGGGTCTAGCCTACTGGAAGAGGTTAGCCAACTGGAAGGGTCTAGCCTACTGGGAGGGCCAGCTGGGCCAACCGACTGGAGGACGCCAGCCCGCCGGGCGAGCCCTGTCCTTCCCCCCCGCCCTTGACCTTGTCTTTGCGCCCGCCCCGCAGACGTCTCCGTGCAGGCGCCGTCCGTCTACGTCTTCCCCCCGCCGGCTGAGGAGTTGGCGCGTCAGGAAATGGCCACCTTGACCTGTTTGGCGTTGGGTTTCCGTCCTCGGGACATCTTGGTGACCTGGACCCAAGAAGACCGTCCGGTTGCTGCCAGCAGCTACTCCACCTTCGGTCCGCAGCAAGACGGGAACACCTTCACGGTCTACAGCAAGTTGAGCGTGCCGGCGGCCGATTGGCAACGGGGCGACTACTTCTCCTGCGTGGTGGGCCACGACGGCTTCGCCATGAAGTTCGTGCAGAAGACCTTGGACAAGAGCATCGGTAAACCCAACAACGTC